GTATTTGTTTAATTAAATTGAATGAGACATTGATTTGTGATTATATTATATGCCATTAATTAATGAGATTAGTTACCGCTCAACACAACTATCTGTTTAGTGTTGCCATAGATTTATAGCTAATATCCCTTCAGAGCGGCGATAATTTTTTATACCATGTTTTGTATTTGTTATTCATTAAAGGGTGGTTTGAATGACGATTGCGATATCAGTTATGATACAATTGCTTATTTTGATTGCATTTTAAACACAATAAATTGTATAAATTTATTATATTATTTAATGTCAAGTATTGTCGACAGTCTTTGTGACCAAATATGTGTAATTCCTATCGATCTTATAGTAAGCGACAGACAAAGGCAACGGTTGTGTTGTTATCGCATATAATCATCACTTACGTTTTATGTCCTACTCCATATAACATCACATATCACATGACGTTTGGGTAAATCACATGCTGGTCATGAACACAATTTTACGTTAACTTTACATCAAATAATTGCTATTTATGCTTCAGAGGCCAACCCTACCATACAATACCGATAAGTGCTATGCGTTTCCCAAACAAAGTCATTATCTTTTCTTTTTATCACATTATGTCTAATAATAACACTTTGTTTTTGCATTTCATTGAAATGATTATATTATTAGATAATTGCAGAAAACAATTGTTTTGAGCAAATGTTTAATTTAAAGAAAAAGCACTGCTTTTAATATTGAGCTCACATTTAGTATAGAAAATAGCATTTATTTATGATATGAACTGAATTTGAATGAATGAAATGAATGACTGACTGATTGTGTTGTGATTACAGCGTCTTTTGGGTGCAATTGTGTGATAAAACTAGAATTACTGCAAAGCCATTGCAATGAATGTGATTTCAATCCATACAAACCGATCATCTGTGAGAAGGGCTGCGGACTTATTCTTCTCCGAAACCAAGTGGAAGAACACAACTGTTTGTCTGATTTGCGAGAATTAGTGAGTAATCAACAAAAACAGATCACAGAACTGAAGAACTCTAAGCGCATACACGAGGAACAGATCAACGAACTGAAGAACTCTAAGAAAGTGCACGAAGAGAACATCGGCGAACACGACCGGCAATTCATACAACTCAACGATCACATGAACCGTTTGCAGCACACCTTAGAACAGATCCAAAAACAATACGAGACCAACGATGACGACGACGACGACTGTCATGTGTCCAAAGGCCACGGCATCGGTCGTAAGAGGCCGTCGACCAGCAGTTGGAAAGACGTGGCGACCAAACGAAACAAAGATATGTGTGTGTCGTTGAGTGAATCCCAATCGCACCAACACTTTCATCATTTGCATCAATTCCCTCATTCACCCCATTCTCACTGTTCCTCCTCTTCGCTGACCACCGCTTGTGTCGCCTCTCAGACCACTGAACACAAGAGTTTGAACATTACTTTTTACGGCACTGTTATTACAGTGGATGCGCTCACAATCGACACCATCGAGAGTGTAAAGGCAAAGATCAACATAATTGAAACCATTCCTATCGACCAACAGCTCCTGTTCTTTGCCGGACTCCAACTCGAAGACCACAAGACATTGAGTTATTATAACATACAAAAGGATAGTTCCAGACATTTGGTGCTTAGGCTGAGGGATGGGATGAAGATATTTGTGAAGACTCTGTCGAATAAGACAATCGAAGTACAGGTGGATCCGAGCGAAACCATTGAAATCGTGAAAGTGAAGATCCACGAACAGGAGGGCATCTCTCCCTGCGATCAGCGCCTCCTTATGGAGGGCCGAGATTTGGCAGATTTGCGTACATTAAGTGATTACGGCATTAAACACAACTCGACCCTTCAGTTGGACCTTCATTTGGGCGGTCCGTGTCCTATATGTCAGTCACAATTCAAGAGTAGCACCAGTGCTAACAGCCCGACCAGTGGTGGTCCACAATCGCATCGAAGTACTGCCAGTGATATAAGTGACTAAATTATTACATTCATTGATTGTATAGTAACTTACATTTGACGTGAAATAAAGCACTCCATCAATACATCTCTGTTTGACATTCAGGTATCCATTGATTTGTGATTTTATATATTATTTTATTTTAAATAAAGGATAACTTATTTTTAATTATTATTATAATTATAAATATATCTGAATAAAAATATATAACGGATTAATTGCTTGTAAAGAAGACAGGCCTACAAAAAAGTAACGAAAAATACCTAAACTTTGTATTGATTTTATTTGTACTATAATATAGTGTAGTGTTTGCTTCTAATATTAGACCACTATTTATGTAAACAATTATTTATAACAATAATTATGATTTGGCCTTAAAATAAACCCAAACCCTTGGATATAAACTGCTTTCATTGAATTGAGTTTCGAAATCTACATTTAGGTTAACATTAATGTAATTGTATTAAAATTAATAATAAAAAATAAATTACAGGAAAAATCTTGTGTGTTTCTTTCGCTTAATATTTTCATACAAAAATAATCTTAAACAGTTTATAACTGTTTTCGGATTATTATTTTACAAACTGTAAATGTCGTTAAGCAGAGAAGAGAGTAGGTAATTACAGGCATTTTAAGGATTAGGAAACAGATATCTTACTCAATTCGATATCGAAAGGGAAACAACTATTTCTGAAAATAACCGAAAATATCATTTCGATCAGTGTTTGTATTTATTGAATGGCTTTACAGCGCATTACATGTAATGATAGGTTAGATGTAGTGATCATGTCATGAAAAAGTGATCCACTTTTGACATATTATTTAATCAATTTTGTTATTTCATTCGTATCATAGCGTCTCATATCTTTGATTCTTAGATCTAAAACCTTTACTTTTAATTAAATTTTATTTAAAAAGAAATTACAATAAATAAACCCAAACGATAGCCAAATGTTAGCATCTATTTTGTTGACCTAAAAATGTGTTCAATAATATCAACATTCATTCATGCAATTGGGTTTAAAACTAAAAATTATATACTTCTCAATGAGAGGTTTTCATGTGATAAGCTTTTGGTTAAGAATTTGATTCATATTATCAGTTTGTTTCTCTCCAAAAAACCAGTGGTTATATGAAGTCAGTTAACTGTATAGTAATTTGATAGCAATGCTATAGTATTAGGCAATCAATAACTGCCAGCCAAACAAGTTATTGAATACATGCTTAGCTTTCAATTTAATTTGAGCCTATTTTTCATTGCGTTTAGTGTTTAAAATAGTAATTACTCGAAACTAAAACAACAATATCGTGTGTTTTTGCTAAAATTCAATTGCTTTCATTTAAAACTAGTCATTGAATTAATCCATTGATACATGTATTGAGGCCCACAAACGCCAGAACCAGATCTAATCTCATTAAAGAGTAGTTCCCAATTGAAATCTAATACTGTATTAATAACTGTAATATTAATTTAATATACCGTATATTCTTATACTGAAGGTTTATTTTCTCGTAGATTTGATATGTAATTAATTTAAATTATAATTTAGCAATTAATTGAATTAATTAGATCGACAATCGATCGACTAATTCCCAAATAATAGGAATTGTTGTTTTAGAAATATTTTTGTTTTTATTTTAAAGTGCTGTTTGTTTTTTAAGTCTGGAAAATCAATGAAATGGAGCCAATGTTTGCCAACTCGTTGTTTTTATCCACTTCTTGTCACATATTTTGTATTTGAACTAAATTTCTGGATTGATTGCCAAAAAAGTCGGATCCCAACTAAATTAGATACGAATACAACTCTATTCTTTTCATAACACGTATAAAAGTGTTATGAATATAAATATTTGTCACAACATTACTGAAAGTGTAATATTTATACAGTATATACATATAGAATGGAATTTTTATTAATAATTATCATGTGTTTTAACAATAATTAGCTGAAATGGTGTAGTAATTTATACGCAATAAAATTATCACTATTATATGTACAGTACTAGAAAACAAAACAGATTAAAGATTTAGACAAATTACTGATAAATTGTTGTTTTTAAATGTCTCCAAATAATGGCCACACTTTTGGTGCACTCTTTTTAATTAAATTAATCTATTTATTGTCCAAAAATGAACTCATATTTGAATAGCACTTCAATTGGCAAACATTTACAGTAAATAATTGTCATTATTTTCGTGCATATAATGTATTTATAAACACAATCAATATATTTATGCTATTTTAACAAAAGCTATTTTTATATATAAAGTCTCGTCTTTGCAAAGGCTTGGTATTTATGGCATGAAATGTAATTTAAAATTATTAACTCTCCCAACGATGAGAATGTAATGGTTTTGATTGATTTTCAAATCAGTTCTTCCTTTTCCTAAAGTTTCTAAATATTTCCAAATGAATGCTATTTACAGGCATTTCATTGATTTTGAGACTCTTTGACATTTGACCCGATGTTTCAAATGGCAGTTCAATCACGCGATCGTCAATTCTAATCAATGCATACCTTATGAAGATTTTATCTATAAATAGATTTTAGTAAAATATTTCTAAAGATAATCACTGTTTCCACAGTTTGTCTATATTTATAAATGCATTTTGATTTTGTTTTTAATTTTTTAAAAGTATTTTATTGTCACAAAACATATTCAATATTTGTTTTACGATATACTATAATGTGTTATCATTTATAAAACAATCATTTATTTCGTGATTTTATATAACACTACATTATATGCGTTACTTTTAGCATTAAAATTAATTGTTTATTAATTATGTGTTTTTATAGTTCACTGCAATTTTGAATATCTATGAGTTATGTCTAAATTTTATATGAATTGATTGGAGATAAGTTTAGAGCACAAGTTGTGGAGGTTTATGGTATACTTGAAGTATGTAAAGGGTAGGGGTTTTACATACTCTTCAGCAAAGAGTATAAATGTCTTTCAATGGAAATTAATATATTCTGAATGAACACAAAGGTTTTAAAACATTATAACAAAAATAGCTTAAATTGAATAAAATTACATTAATTTGCTTAACATTAACACAATTCTTATTAAAATGAGACACAGAATAACAATTCATGTGAATTGACAATAAATATATACGAAAACAATATATTTTGACATTAAGAATAACGTGTAAATGTTTTTACTTTGAATTTCAAATCAATCATATATTAGTATTAATAGTAATTTTATAATTATTTCGACGGATGTGTAAAATATTAGTTAATATTTGCGTTTAAATTTCATTCATATCCACATAAAATAGTGTTTATATAACAGTAAAATATAAGACATCTTAAATCTGTTATAATATCAGATAAAAGAATATACAGTATAATAGTGTGTAATAACTGTTTTTTCAATTATTAGGCAAAAGTCAAAAGCACATAATAATTTATATTGTAATAAAATATAACATATTTATGGGAACAGTAGCTAAAAACGCAATGATATTTATCGATCCAATGGTATATTACAGCTAATAACCAGACTTTCTCTGGACTACTATTTCTATTGGACTACACTTTCAGTTGGTTTACAATATATACGCTATTTTAAGCATTTGTTAGTTTCACTTGATTTTCATATGCTATGCATTCATACGCTATAAATACATATTTCTACTCAAAATAATATTCAAATTATTAAAATCAGATTTAATTAATTTTTATTTTAAAAATTGTGATTTAATAAACAATTCTTCGCATTTCATACAATTTACTGTACTTTGCATTACTTTGAATACAAGTTAATTTTGTGTAAAAACCACTACAAGTCATGTAATAATATAAGAGATTTAGATGTATATCAATATGAGAATCAAGTGAACAACAAATTTATATATATTTATTAAGCACTTATGTTAAATATTTGGCGCATTTGGACGTTAACTGTATTCACATGAATAGCATCACAATAATTGATTAAAACATTTATCGGATATTTATATTCACACAGAAAAAGAAAGAGAAAATTAAATTCATTTTGAGTTTAAATGAATGAATTCAAAGGTAATAATTGATGCGATTTAAAGCGGTGTATATTTTTAAAGTACTGAATCAAAAATGTAAATATAATGAAAAAAAGAGATCCTTTTCTTAGAGACGTTTTCCAAATGTGAATCCAATAGAAGAGAGCATAAGTCCGGCCAATACGTCCAAAACCATGATTGCGATATTGTGTCCGTCTTCGGCTTTGAAGGCATTTTTCTCGAAAACCGATGAATTGATTCCCAGACCCAGAAAACTAGTGCACGGCTCGGAGAAGGCCACGAAAGCGCCCCAAAACATAACGCCAGAGATTATGAGAATTGCAACTGAAATGTTCAGGAAATACATTAGACGTTGCAATCAGTCATTGGTTATGAACTCAATTACCGATCGCCGCGAAGAATAAGATCTTAATGTCATATAATATTCCGGCGATATTGAAGAAACTGAGTAGAAATAAGACACTCCCCGTAATTGTGCCCGTGATCTGAATGATCTCCAGTTTGGGATAGTCATCGCCCGTCAGTATTGTGCAGTCCTTGTTCTTCAGGATGAAAAACGATGCCACGGATGCTAACTATGTATTTAAGCATTCATTTTAATACATGTATGAAAAAAATGTATTAATTCATCTGTTTTTATGTAAACCTATTATTATTATTTATTTAAAATGTCAGTAAAATTAATCTCAATAAACAAATTAAATTCTTTTACATATTCTGATGCTATTTATACATTTATATAGAATTTTATTCACTAAATGGACATTAAAATTAAGTGTCGTTTAAATGTGCAATTATTTTATCGCCTAATTTATCGTGTTTTTCAATACTTTGAAAGTCACAAATGTTTGGGATTTTAATTAATTTATGATTAGAAAACTGAAAGTTTGTTTTCGCATAATATTTATTATATATACAGATATTTGATATAAATATATAAACAATATAATCATTTTGTTGTAAATGTTTATAATTAAAGTAAATATTTTTGTTTAAAAATAAAAATCAAGATATAAAACATGGGAAGAGTAAGACATTAAAATCATGTCATATATTATTTTGATTAATAGTTACAGAACTTGACATTCATTTCGGTTATGAATGCGATATAATCGACAGGTTTTGCGATTTCATTGACTTAATAATTATGGACCACTTTTTTGGGAAAACATTTACTACTCTGTTATTAACTATGAATTTAATTAAATTTTTGAACATATAATAAATTAATGTCTCAATTACTAAAATGATTGCGAGACACGAACTTAAAGGTTAATTAAAAATTTAGTTGCAAAATATTTACATAAAAACAAAAATTAAACACAATATGAGTGAAAAGTGAGAGAAAAACTTACGGCAACGAAAAGTCCGAGAAATCCATAGTAATTAAGGTGTTTGTTTTGAGGCATTTTTGTAACACTGCATTCAAATTACACAAAAAACAAATAATAATTTTACAAATTGTTCACAAAAGAAGAGCTGTTAAAACAATTTTCTCATTTATCCCAAAAACTTACAGTAATGTTGAGTGGATTTGAGTGAAAAACTATTTAGCAATTATATGAAGAAACGGTTTTTGTTTGTCAGGCAGTGATACTGGAAAGGTATGGTCCGTTCCCTTCACTTATCTCTCACACGCCTTCACTTTCAATGTTAGCACAACTTTTTGAATGCCAAACCTCTGATTCCTCCAAAAGCTTTTGTACAGCAAAATAAGGTATTTCTCGAGTTTAAAGTGAAATTCGTAACCGAAATGTTAGTTACGATAGTTTGGGAAATGAATGGCAAAGTGTTGCTAACGAATCACACCCTAAAACACACTAAACATCACATAAACAACTCATTAAACTGGCGGCCAATGCGTAGAGCGGAGGGAGAGAGAGAGAGCCTCACCACTAGGAATATGCAATGATAATACTCGTCAGGCTCAGGCTATTTCAACGAAGTTATCATTGAATGCAATGTTAACTTTCAATTGACGAGTTTTGGCTGAAGCTATGGTTGGATATAACGGTTGATATACTGTCTGTCTGTTTGTCTGTCATTCGATGCAATTCTCAGCGGAAGCGCTCTTTGAGAGCAATTTCAGCGCATATGCCATCACTTGCTATCACTTTGCCATCAAAATTGTTTGTTTGCCTCAAAGGGGGTCACAATTCATGGAAAACAAATTCTGGAGAAAATATAGATATTTATCATATAGTATACGAAGTTTGAGTTATAAAAGGACTGCAAATACTTTGTGCTTATGATTGATAGTTAATAGTAGTCTTCAAAATACATAAAATTTTTCATTATTATTCATATCTACTGAACAAACATTAATTGTATAACTATTTTGCAAACGTATATTTCAATAGTTAAATATTTCAATGTTTTGTCATTATTTTCCTTATATATACTGTCATTAAAACATAAATTCTTTATGAATTAATCAAATAATAAGCAGAGGTTTTAAAAAGTATAAATGAAATTTTATTTCCATTTATGTGTCATTCGTATTATATTTTTGTTATTTTCCAAAACTATGTCATTAAACAAGTAATGGATAGAGAATTTCAAAACAACGAAAATAGAAACAAAATTTTGCGATAAAATAATTCACTATTTTCTCACACATTCTTGATTTGATTTAAAACACAATCTATTTATAAAATGTAATTCAAATCAAAGGTCGACTGAATGTGAATAATAACATGGTATTAAAATAATGTCATTATTTGTCAACAAATAAATTCTCGCCAAACCCTAAGGGTTTCATTAAAATAACATTTCTTGCATTCAATTTCATTCATTGAGTCAAACCGTTATCATTAAGTTATATGCGTTTTCTTATGACACAATTTGATGACAAATTTCTTTAAACTGAAAAACACATTCAAATCTTATGTTATTTTAAGCGATGATTTACTATTGGTACTAAAATTTTGATGGGTTTATAGATAAGCAAATCTTTTAATAAATAATTTATACAAATAATTACTGATGAATAGTTGGGACGGTTTGTTAAAAATGATGCCGTATTTCACATGTTTTTTGTATTCATTTCATAGGATTTAAGGGGAAGGGGAGGGCTGTCAAGGACTTTACCACTATTTTTACAAAACAATCCTTTGTTTGAAAATTCAATTCAAGGAAAAATATTTTTAACCAAAAAAGTGAAAGTCTATGAGAATATAGGAATAACTTTTCCGAAATGCAAAAAAAACTTGTTTTGAATTTTCTTTTTGTGTTAATTTCAAGTTCACTAATACTCGCAAATAATAATACAGTATTAGATTTCAATTGGGAACTACTCTTTAATGAGATTAGATCTGGTTCTGGCGTTTGTGGGCCTCAATACATGTATCAATGGATTAATTCAATGACTAGTTTTAAATGAAAGCAATTGAGCATATTTTTAACCATATATTTTGTTATCGATAGTCTCATGTCATACAATATACACGTAAAATCTGTTATTTGTTTAATTTACTTAAATTCATTGTATTTTAGCAAAAACACACGATATTGTTGTTTTAGTTTCGAGTAATTACTATTTTAAACACTAAACGCAATGAAAAATAGGCTCAAATTAAATTGAAAGCTAAGCATGTATTCAATAACTTGTTTGGCTTTTTTAGCAAAAACACACGATATTGTTGTTTTAGTTTCGAGTAATTACTATTTTAAACACTAAACGCAATGAAAAATAGGCTCAAATTAAATTGAAAGCTAAGCATGTATTCAATAACTTGTTTGGCTAGCAGTTATTGATTGCCTAATACTATAGCATTGCTATCAAATTACTATACAGTTAACTGACTTCATATAACCACTGGTTTTTTGGAGAGAAACAAACTGATAATATGAATCAAATTCTTAACTAAAAGCTTATCACATGAGAACTTCTCATTGAGAAGTATATAATTTTTAGTTTTAAACCCAATTGCATGAATGAATGTCGATATTATTGAACACATTTTTAGGTCAACAAAATAGATGCTAACATTTGGCTGTCGTTTGTGTTTATTTATTGTAATTTCTTTTAAAATAAAATTTAATTAAAAGTAAAGTTTTTAGATATAAGAATCAAAGATATGAGACGCTATGATACGAATGAAATAACAAAATTGATTAAATAATATGTCAAAAGTGGATCACTTTTTCATGACATGATCGTTACATATAACCTATCATTACATGTAATGTGCTGTAAAGCCATTCAATAAATACAAACACTGATCGAAATGATATTTTCGGTTATTTTCAGAAATAGTTATTTCCCTTTCGATATCGAGAACTCATTCTATAGACAAAGGATTAGGAATTTTACGGACATTAATGGATGAGAGAAGAGACGAATTGCTGTAAATGTCAAACATTTTATTATTAGGCTTTTGTCAATATTTGACAAATTCTAATAAA